AACTCGATTAATTAAAATTTGACATAAGCTTGTACCCTATATTTTTCTCAGACATTGTTCATCTCAGGTAATGTAATACCAACCATTCCTGCTGGAAACATCGTTCACAAACAAGTCTTGGGGCCGTCCAGAGAAATCCACACCCTTGATCACCATGGCTTCTTTCATGGCCTTCAGCCCGTTCAGAATCACAGAGGGTCTCGGACCGATGTAAATACTGTAGATGTTTCCGTAAGATTTGCTCAGCTGGGAGGGAAAAATAAAAATGTCAGTGATTTTTAAACACCTGTCCATCCTTGGTGTTGCTCTGTAATTTAAGATTTGCATACAAGTGTATCATTCAAAGTTTCAAAATATTAAAAAGTGGATTCATTTCATTGGTTTATTTCCGCAACTGTAACTCTTGTAGATTAGTTACTTATGCTAGCTCTAAAATTATTTATTTCTGTTCATTTCAGCTTCTAGTTGATCTAAACTTTGTTTTTCATAAAATTTGAGTATTTCACTTTGTTTTTAAACTATATACATCATGTTATAATAACATTTTCTGCATAACATTCAATTTCTCTATTGAAAAATTAAAACAAATTAGCTTTGATGTCATGATTTATTGAGATGCATATTACAGTAATATTCAATAAATGCAATTAATGTTCCTGTTAGATTTGAAAATAACATCTCTTACATTCAGCTCACATTTCTGTATTAAAAAAAACTGTTTCAATTGTGATCTAACATTCTAATCTAGAATGTTTAACTTTAATGGAAAATCATCATAATTATCTAATTTAAAGTCTTGAAAGAATAAGTCTTAGCATAGTTAATCTATATAATCTGTTTGACTTAGTGAATTGAGTTACCAAAATGAATAAACTTTCAATAATATTCTGATTTACTGAACAAGGCTGCATAAAAACAATTTGCAGTGAATTGTGTTGTGAACATTTAAGTATATGTGTATCATTTATTTCATGCTGATATAAACTTTGTCAGCTGTTCACCATCCTGTTTCTGACAACTTTTCTGAAATATTTAACCCTGGCTATGCAGCAGTTCAAGATTTAAAAGAAAATTCACAAAATGTTAAAATAAAACCTTATCATTGAATAATAACTCCTTATCAATATATCCAGATATAGTCTATGTAAAATCTGAAAATGCACCATCTGTGTTACATCTGTAGTAACGTAGATCTGTTTTAGAAGGACAAAAGTGAGGTCAATTTACAAATCCACGGTTTAAATATTGTTTTCTTCATCTAGAATATTATTTATCGAACAAGAACTATGCAAACACTGGCTTATCAAGTCCTCTGTGCATAAACTCTAACACTGGATGGCTTTATTCCAAGTGTGCAGACAGTTTTGCTGATATTATCTAATC